TAGCTAATGTTCTCTCACATTTACAATATATATACGCTTTCGAAAGTCGCGCTTAATTCAATCTGATTGTTCTCAAAATGGCGGCTTCCGGATTATTGGCCACACTCTCCCTTGACCCACTCTACACGGAACTGGGGAGCGATCACGTACACAATCGAATTCGATCGGTCGACTTCTCATACGACTTCTACTCTACAGGTTTCATGGTTCATGCTTATTTATTATAGGATAGTATCCCTCAGACCATAGATTGATCATGTACGAAGAGTGGTATCGGATGGCATATTCCTTCTCGAATTCGAATTCGATCGGTGCACGTGATCGCTCCCCTGCTTCGAATCGCCATTTTAAATTGCCAACCAAGATGGCTGCCGGCCAATTTTCCCCTCACTTCTCAGGCTTCAACCCCCCTCGCCCAAGTACCTTACGCACCCTCCAGGGGCTCCAGGTATTCTTACCTCCATGGTCCCAAGTAAACCCTACGGCGTGGCCGCTCTCAGGCTTCTCTCTGCTAGCAGTCCAGGTTTCTATAGTTCCTTTTGTTCAAAGGTCCATGATTATATAGTCAAAGAATTAATTAATTACAAACAAACAAATGACTCACAAACCTTTCTAATTGCACTACAAACGTCTACATACGAAATACAAACGATTGCATATAGGAGTTATTTAAAAATACTTTCAGTCGGCGTCAAGTATGAGCGAATTTCCTATAGTCAATGCCTGTGTCCAGCAGAAGTTTGCGCTTGCTAAGCGCTTTGCGTTCATTGGATTATACTTTCAGATCTGTGCTGAAATAGAGCTATATATTCTTCTAGATCTATCCAATCAGCATAAAGCGCTTATTCTTAGCTAAAGCCCGCTGCAGACGATGCTATTTTTCCTGCTGGATTGCTTGCAATTTAGTAAATTACTAGGAATCCTGAATGCTGAGTGGTGCAATGATAGTAATTTACTAAATCGCAAGCAATCCAGCAGGAAAAATAGCATCGTCTGCAGCGGGCTTTACTTCGGCAGAACACAGCCAATGGACACGACGCGTGATCAGTGGAAACACACCCAAATTACTGATTTCTCTCCTCTCCCCTACCCCCCCCCCCTCTGTAGATATCGTGCTCATTGATACCAGAAAGCACTTGTTGACTGTAAATATTAGAAGCATTAAAATTTAAAATTTATCTACAGCATGCATATTGACCGTTTGTGTCATGGATTCGAAATACGGACTGCCCTAAAAATTAATTTTCCTTGAAGAGTGAAGAGAATTCCGAATTCTGTTGAAAAAACAACTTCTATTAACACCGTCAACGCTTTGTTGATCAACTGCGAGAGTCACGATGGCTGCAAGAGGCATTCATAGCCTGAGATTTAATCAAGATCAAGGTAAACTTCAATTTAAAACCAAAAGCTCTATATACTCTTTTTTCATTGGCATTATCTCTCTTTTGTAGGTTGTTTTACGTGCTGCATGGACTCCGGACTGAGAATCTATAATGTTGACCCATTGGTGGAGAAGGCGCATTTCGATAATGATTTAATGGGAAGCATCTCCATGGCCGAGATGCTCTGGAGAACGAACGTAATTGCCGTCGTAGGTGGTGGAAACCGTGCTAAATTTGCTGATAACACTGTTCTGATTTACGACGATGTGTCGAAGAAATTTGTTATGGAAGTCACGTTTACCAGTCTCATTAAAGCAGTTAGATTACGCAGGGACAAGTATAGAATCCTATATTTTTTATTCTCATAAATTCCAATGTATCAGACGACTGCTCTATAGAGGAATATTCCTGTCATAGAATGATAGTTGCGCTGCAGCGAGAGATTCATGTCTTTTCGTTTCCTACACCCGTTCGAAGGTTGTTGACACTCGAGACCAGAGACAATCCAATGGGCTTGGTGGAATTAGCAACATTTGCAACAGCGCAGAGACAGTTGCTGGCCTTTCCCGGCCATAAGCTCGGTAGTGTGCAATTGGTGGATCTTGGAGCTACCGAGGCTGGTAGTTCCAGCGCTCCTATTACTCTTTCAGCACATCAGGTACCTTAATGTATTATCACTTGAATTTTTTTTCAAGAAACAATAAATATTCACTATGCAATTATCTTGGAATTTATTTTCAGTTCTTTATATTACAGTAAGATAGTTTCATTCACAATTCTTTATATACGAGATGGCAGGATCAAATCTAGATTTTTTTTAATAACTTGATAATCACACTTTTCCGTGTATAATACAGACACGTAAAACACATGAACGTGTCTGAACATGACAGAAACGTACACGCTCAAACGCGGTGGCACGCCGTGCGCGTGCCGCTCCTGGTTCACGCGTTACCTAAAGCGCTTATTCGTTACCTTAAAGTTGCTCTTATTTGAAAAGTAATGTTCAGACACAATTTTGCCAGAGAAAAAAGTTACTTTTTTTGACACGAATAATCACGCTATGAATTCCGAATGCGCGAATTCTGAGACACCCTATTGTATATTGTAATAATAACGGTATGTATACATATGTTGTAATAAAACAATATAACAGGGCGCACTAGCGTGTCTGGCAGTCAATGGAAATGGGACTATGATCGCGACTGCATCCGTTCAGGGGACTTTAATCAGAGTTTGGGACTCTGTGCGCAGGAGTTTATTGGTTGAGTTGAGGCGTGGTGCTGATCCAGCCACACTCTACTGGTCAGTATACAAAACTAATAGCGCCATGTGATTAGCATTATAGCCCTGCCATTAATACAATTTATATTTTCAGTTTCTTAATGTTTCTCGATATTTCCGTTTTTTTTAGCATAACATTCAGTAGAGACTCAGAATTCTTATGCGCCTCGAGCGATAAAGGAACAGTGCATATATTTGCCCTAAAAAATACCAACTTGAATCGACGATCCACGTAAGAAAATAATGCTCCTTTTCACACAGAATAGCTGTTTTTACCATGCAACATACGCATAATTTCATATATTATTCTCTTGCTTTATTTTTTTAGCTTTTCAAACATGGGTTTTCTAGGCAATTACGTCGAAAGTCAATGGGCTTTGGCTACCTTTACAGTACCTCCGGAATGCGCTTGCGTTTGCGCGTTTGGCACACATAATTCTGTGATAGGTATTTATTTTATACGAGAAAGTATCACCGATACACTCTGCCTCTCTTCCCTCATCTTTTTATTTGATTGCAATTTCAGCTGTGTGTATGGACGGAACATTTCACAAGTATGTCTTCACTGCGGAAGGCAATTGCAATCGACAAGCATTCGACGTCTTCCTCGACGTGTGCGGCGACAACGACTTTTAACATAAGGCCTACATATGCGTGTGTGTACAAGTACCAGGCTATATACTTGCAACGAAATTTCTAGTCGATTTACGAACGAAATTTCTTGTATGTGATAATTGTCCAGGTAATCGAGTCGCCGATTACGTGGAAAGTGCATAAGTCATGGGAAAGTCAATATTCCATAGAGGCCCTCGATTACAATCTCGTTTCGTGACTTGTGTACTTCCCATAATTATACAGTTTTAATAAATATTAAGACATTTATTTTGTACAACGAATTACCCATTTAACTTTATATTTACGTCACCTATCCTTTACAGAAAAAACTCTGCATAACGTTGTAAGATGCGATTCACATATCCAATAGCCTCGCAGGAACTTCCAAACAAATCTTGCGGAGTCATATTATGTAGATCTATTCGAGAAAGCTCGTTCTCGTGCTCTCTCTGGAAAAAGTCATTGTTAATCTAGATAATTATTTGTGCAAAACTCAGCTATTTATTTAGTATTCTGAAGATACGTACTGTACGGTTCAGGATTCAACATAGGTTGTATCATGGAAGCGTAACAGCATACACCTACGAGTCCGAAGAAACTTCCAACAAACACGCCGTATCTCCAGCCTTTCAATCGTATCATTCCGAACAGATATCTAGGCAAAGAAAATACTATAAACGTCAGTCAATTTAAGGCAAACGAAAGCTTCTATTTCAATTGTTGAAACATATTCGACCTATTACAGTTTCAGACTAGAAGCATACTGAATTGTGATAATGTCACACCAATTACCACAAAAATTATTTTATGTCTAATTGATCGTTAATGATCCCCAAATTTATATGTAGATTGTTTTATATACTGAACAAGGCTCAGTACAGCCGAAACGTCTATTTGAACCTGAAGAATAAAGTAATTTTATCAATCTTTTTTTTAAAAAAAAAGAACGCCTGTTAATGCTCGTTAATTTGGCCTTTCATTAATTATGAATTGTTAATACAATACACGAGCGAAAGAGACACTCCTCTCTCTTTTTCTAATTTGCGGTTCCGTATGTAGAATTATCATTGGTGTTCGACAGCGTTCAGTATCACTTCCTCTTTTTTTTTCCCCCTTTATGGGAACGCCGTCAACCTGTTGGTTACTTGGCGTATTCTGTTCTCCGAGTTTTTCCCTTCTTACTATTTTCCTGCGTTCTAAGCCCTTTAAATTATCTTCTTAATAGCTTTAACGAAACCTCTCTGTTTTTTTAGGTTATGTCACAAGTGTAGTACAAGATTTCGCCGTTAGGCGGCGAATGGACAATTTTCATTTTTCTCGATAGTGCTTTTGCGGATAGTTTTCATTATATAAGCTCCGTTGTAAGAGTCGTTTAATGTACTTGCTTCGGCAGTACATATACTAAAATTGGAACGATACAGAGAAGATTAGCATGGCCCCTGCGCAAGGATGACACGCAAAATCGTGAAGCGTTCCACATTTTTTGTCGGATACTATAATATCTACTTACTGTTAATATAATTCTATTATTAATAGAAAGTATTCTTTTTTAAGTTTTATGAAATTATGCTAATAATACTAGTAAACTGAATTGAAAAACGAGTTATATATCAATAAATATAAAATACAGGCCTAATTGAATGTTTATTTATGCTATAACTGGATGTATATATATATATATGTATATATATAACAAGCTTTTTAAAACTACATATAAAACTCACATACAAACATATATAATATGTTTTAGCTTCTCATAATAATTTTTTAAAAGTAATATCTAGCAAGAATTCATTTGTGACGAAAGATTGATAAAACTTGATTAAAACGACAATAATAATAATCCATTAACAATAAGACATTAACGAGTTGCAAAGCTATCTTATATCAAAATGGACCCTAATACAATAAACTTAAAGAAAGACACAGAGAACCTTAACCCGATATACGATTCTATCATTTGCTCTCTAACTTGACATAACTTATTTATTTATTTATTTATTTCCCGTTCTGCTCGTTATTCGACCTAGACGTTTTTAACACTATAATAGTGACAGTCACTCACCGACCATGACAGATATTGGACATATTTTAATTTGTTACCGTTTTATAATCATGACATTATAATTAGTACAATTAGTACAGTTAATCTTACAATCAAGAGTGAACATCGTTTTTAAAGCTTGACTGTCCAATGACATGGTTTTTAAGGTAAGCGACTGGTGTTAGGATTCATTTACGTTATCCTCAAACAAAACATATCTTATTGTACTCGTGAAATATACTTGGCGCGAGACACTACCGTGTCTCGTGATTTGTCTCCTCTTTATACATTATTTTTTATAATTTGTAAACTTGTATGTTATTTATTAATTCTACTTTACTACTTTTATACAATTATGTTTGATCTCTAATTTATATTTACAATCGCATTGACATCTATGATAATCTTGCAACTCCGACTGTTCAATTTTAGAATTGTGCTTGATAAGGACCCAAACCAGTGATCGAAACGTTGCACAGTACTCCTGTCTTTTATTAAATAGATTAAATAATAGCCAGAAAAGGTCGATTAAACGTATCCATTGTTATCTTATATTTGTCTACAATTGATTATTTCGCGGAATACACCGTACTCCTGGGGCTCGATCATGAATCTTTTACTCTAGCGTGAACTCGTGGAAAGTGAAAAATTTCACTCATAAATATTATAAACTCGTCAATGAAATTTTCTCACTTTTCACGAGTTCACGCTAGAGAAAGAGATTCATGATCGAGCCCCTATACAAAGTGACAATTTCTTGGCGACGAGTGCGGCAACTGACAGGACAAAGCGAATAAAATTCCGAACGGAAATTGCGGTGGTTCTACGTGACGCAATTATGAAACGCGCGTTTTATCGTGCACGACGTATCGGGAGTCGGGGAGTGTCGCCGATGGACGTGTCGGCGGCGCCTCGATCACCTCGCGTAATCGCGTTCGCTGAGTTCGCTCCGCGACAATTGAGATAAATGCGAAGACGTATCGCGCGGATCGAGCGTGACGACCGAAATCGTCGACGAGGGCGGTCCGCGTCAGCGTCGGCTCGTCGATAACGGCGCGTCCCGTCGGGAACGAATGCCCTCCCGGACAACCCGGGCGCCGGTGCCACGATAGGTTACGTCCCGCGAGCGGGCCAAATGAATCGATTGTGGTAGTGCGAACGGGATAGCGAGAGGATCATGTCGAGAAAGTGGCTGTCGAATTTCGCGCTGGCCGGCACCATCAGGCTGCTGATCATGAACTCCGAGTACCAGAGGATCATCAGCAACCGCGTCGAGGTGTCGACCGCCTTGAACTCCTGGAAGAGAGGTTAGTCGCGCCTGCCACGGGCCACGGGCCTGTTCTCCAGTCTACAACGAGTTGTTAGTCAGAAATCAGCACTATACTTTCATCCAGAAAGAAAAAGGTTTAACACAGTTCCGACTTCTGACTAACAGCTCATTGTAGACCGGGCCTGTACCGCGTTGAAGTGCCGACGATTAATTTCTGTTCTAAATTACAGCTTTTTTTTCTTTATCAGGTATATCACTCGCGATAAGTGTGAGAACGTCGCGGAAGACGCGTCGTTATAAATTTGAGTAATTTTCGAAAAATCTTAGGAAGCGGTCTTGATCGCTTTGGTAGCTCCGGTGTTGAATATCGTTTTGGCTAACTTGCGACAGATCGATTTCGCAGATTTAACGCACTCCTGATGTTTTCCAGTAACCGAAGGAGTTTATCTGCACAAGTTCGGCATAGACCCATACGAGGGGGATCTGTTTCACGAGACTCCCATCGGCTTGTACATGTTCAACTTGATGCAGGAATATTTACCTCAATGGGCATTGTTTCTGCTGTTTGTCGCCGTCGACCTAACAACTGCCCTGTGCCTCGCTCTCGCAGCAAAACATTATGCAATTGAGTTGGTCAGTATTAGAATTTAAACTTATTTAAATTTACAAAATAAGAATTATTTAGATACCAACATCTTGTCACGGCCCTTTATTCCTTCAAATCTGTGTTTAGGCTTGTTTAAACTTTGTTTTTTTCATTTCGAGATACAAGGGAGTTAAGAACCATACATCGCATGAGGTCTCGCAGGGCAAAGTAAATTGATCAACCATTATAAATAAGAACAATCAGACTTCCATTATAACAACACGACACGGCGTTATACAGGCTTGCTAACCTGATATAAGAAGCCAACGGTTCTTCACTCCAACGTTTACTACACATGGTTGAGCCTTGACCCTTGTGGCCTATTTACTCCCTTTTATCTTATCTTAATTTATTTTATTTTAACATTTCGACTAGATTTAAGATCTCTATTTTGTGAACTTTACTATATATTTAAATTTATTTAACCATTTTACTCATCATGACTCGTTATATTTTAAAATTCCGACTAAATCTAAGAATTACGTTGTTCTATCAACATTATTTATTTATTATATTTACATTTATATAATTAATTATTCATGTATTTAATTTATGTACACTCGTAGAATATTGTAATCTATATGCACTGATGAAAGCACTGTGTGCCGAAAAGGCGTACACAATCCTAGAGTACAAATGTAATTACAGACTCTTTATTAAAATAATTGCGATACCTTATTAAACAAAGCTTGTTGAACTTGGCCTTAATTACACGTCGTTATTTTTAATAGAACACAAGCGATACTTAATTATTTTTAAACTTGTTTAAAATCTTGCTGACAAAAAGTACACAGTATTTATCTTGACATTCAAATTGCAGGCGACGAAGAGAAAAGAGGAGAAGGACGAGAGTAAGAAGCCTAGCGAAGATGTTCCCAGCACATCCGCTTTATACGTTTCCGCAGCGTATCTGTTCAACCCGTACATAATATTGAACTGCGTTGGCCTGACAACTACGGTATTCACCAATCTACTCTACTCGATCGCTCTAGTGTCGATGACGAAGCGCTCCGTGCTCTGGAGTTGCGCGTCGATAGCGTTATTGACGTTGCAAGGACTCTATCCTGTGTCGCTCATGGTACCGGCAACTATTTACATTGCCAGCGTAGCGAAGAACAGAAAGACCAGTATCGCCACGATGCTACTCGCGTTTACGAGCATCCTCGCGGCCCTATTCGCCGTTTCTTACTGCATCATGGGAAGCTGGTCGTTCTTATGGAGCACCATCGGCTTTATCTTGACGGTCCCCGACTTACGTCCGAATATCGGACTGTATTGGTACTTCTTTACGGAAATGTTCGAGCACTTCAGATGGCTCTTCATCGCATCCTTTCAGATAAACGTCAGTTTATTGTACATAGTCCCCCTAGCGCTGCGATTACGACGCGACCCGATGTTACTGGCGTTCTCCTACCTGGCGATAGCTGCCATATTCAAATCTTATCCGTGCATCGGAGACGTTGGCTTCTATATATCTCTACTGCCGCTGTGGAAGCACTTGTTCCAACGTAAGTCGAAACTCAACGCTTTCATCGTATAATTCAAAACTGCGCAAATTGTCCTAACATACGCTTTACTTTTTCCCTAGATATGCAGCAAGGATTCATCGTAGGTTGTTTTGTACTATTTTGCACGGTTTTCGCCCCAACCGTGTGGCATCAGTGGATCTACTCGAGATCAGCAAACGCAAATTTTTACTTTGGAGTAACACTGGCGTTCGCTATAGCGCAAATCTTCCTCCTCACCGACATCCTGTTCGCCAGTGTGAAACATGAGTTCGCTGTTCAGCATGGTATCAATAAGAAAGTTAACGGAAACGAGGCTAAATTGCTACTCGAATAAAATAAGCTTTTCTAGATCGAAATGTATAATACCCTACCGATGAGCAGTGACAAGCGATACGTCTTGGAATCATTGGTCGTGAACGAAAATAAAATAGTTTTTTACAAAAGTATACTGTTTTTATTTCAATCGATTGATACAGATGTCTGTATGTTTCGAATGGTTACAATAATGTAATACAAAATCGCAGTATAAAACTCATTTCTAAAACACATATCAAGATGACTCGACGAGTTATAGTTAAAATTACAAACTTATGATCCAGAAAAATCAAGAATTCTTTACATCAAAATTTATTTTTAAATTATATGACCAACGCAAAAGTATACAAAAACTATATTACATAAAATCCCGTTTAAAAATTATATATTTTTTAATTGTATACCATTATATGTTGTAATGCTATCTCATCCCATAGCCTCACATTCATAAAATTATTTCATATCGTATATTACCTTCGAAAATAATGATTTTTAAGAAAAAGCTTTTTATATAAATATGTAATTGATCTGCTTACAAGATAAAACAAATATTGGAGGAACATTAACCTGTACTTAGTGTTTAACAATACTGATATTTTGTACTGTGATTAACTTACCAATATAATCTTTAAAACTTGATACTCCCTAAGACTTGCCTTCTTTGGATAACAAAAACAATGATGCTTAACTATTTCATTAACACTAAATACTAATTTTTACTTTTTTTTTAAAGTAACTTGAAGATGATCAAATTAAAACGTTAATAAAACAAAGAGTTTATTAAAAGAGATATATTCGTTCCGTAGCATAAAATGCATTTGATGCAAAACTAATATGAATCAGTTGTTTCCTCTGTTTAACTTTAAATCTTTAATTTTACGCACAATTTTATCGAATGTTTCTATTTCCTCCTTCTGCTCTAAGGTAACGGACAATTTCGTTGTATTTTTTGCGCCGCTACGATTATATAACGTAACTTTAGTATTCCTTTTTAATTTTGCCACTATCTCCTCGTTTAATGGCAACTGTTTAAAAGGAATATATGCGTTATGTTCTTCACAATACTTCACAAGTACCTTCCAATGTTTATTTGTGCAGAGTATATTTGGATTTCCTATTATTATCATAAGTGCTTTGGCACGTGTTAAAGCGACATTAAATCTCTATAAAAAAAAAAACAGTACATAGGTAAATGTAATTTGTTGTATGTGCTCACACGCGCGCGCGCAATTCAGAGCGATGCCAGAATAATCGATCCATGGTTGACTGACATGTCCCAGGTACTTGGCATATATAATGAAAATCATACCTTTGCACTGGATAAGAAACCAATGTGTTCCTTGCCATCGTGTTCGAAGATTTGAGATCGTACCGTCGACAATATCATTACGTTTCGTTCTTGTCCTTGAAATGTTTCAACTGTTCCTACAGTTATGTCTTTCAAGTTCATAGCTGTTAAGTGACGACTAATATCTTGTTGCTGTTGTTTAAAAGGCGTTACTATCCCGATATCCTTTGGTATTATTGCACGTTTTACAAATCCCGTCTTGATCAACATATCTACATACATCAGTACTGCCAGTACCTCGGCCGTGTTACAGGCACTGCAAACACGTTACGCTATAATGTTTTGCAGACGATTGTAATAAAATTTACATATTTAAATATATTAACCTGTGGGTTGCAGTCCTTTTTTCTGTGCCTAAAACTTCTTGAAATATCATAGGAAAATTTTTATTGGGCAATTGCGACCAATTCAATGCCATTCGTGTATCGGCTCCTCCGCACATCTCTAATTCATTGTCATAAAATTGTTTATTTGACACATATAAAAGGCTTTCGTGACTACGGTAATTTTTAACTAATTTCGTTATGTAGTTCGAATTATATTTTCCATCCTGCTTTTTGTATGGATCGCAATCATTCATTAATCTTTCCAACATAGATCTTCCTGTAGAGTGAGAAATTAAATAGTTAAGAAATTGTAATATGCAGATCACACATTTACGTCACTTTGAAAGAACTTACCAAGAAGATGCTCAATCCTTTTGCAACAAACAACAGGTCCCAATTGATAAGGATCACCTGCGATAACAACTTGTGGTTGAAATCCAGTTTTCTCACCTTCAGATGCTTTAGTTATTATAAGAGGAATCAACATTTCTGGTTCAATCGCTTGACTTGCCTCGTCAATAATTATGTAGGAAAAATGATTTTCCCGGAAATTTATACGAATCAATCTATAACAAATAATACACGATGTATCAAAATATCTCCTAAAAAATATAAGTTGACAGTATAATTTACAAGTATCTCTTATCCGTTAATTATACTGTTCGTATAAAAAACGTTACATTTAATTGTTTAGAAATGTTGAAAATTATTAAAAGTAAAAATTTAGACTGTCCGAAATAACACACGTATGTATATGCGCGCACACAAGAAAATGAAATAACCTGTTAGATACAGACCTTGTGGATGATACTAATGTTGTAATGACAACTTTTTTCAGCAACAGTAATTCTTTTGACAGAAAAACAGTAGTATCTCCAACAAAATTCGCGCAAGGTTGAATTTGTTTGTCCACAGTCGATCTATTTTTCAACAAACAAAATTCAATTTGGATATTTATATATACGAGTTTATCATCTTTCGTAAAGTTTCTGCTACAGCTAAGTGAAGTTGACTTTTACAAATAAAAATCAAATTTAAAAACATGAATTTTCACTAGTGCAGTACGACGAAAAAAAGAACCGAGAAAAACTAACAAACATTAATCCTTCACCTTTCTCTAGATGGAGCATACATTCGATATATTAGTTTTTTTGGAATGTATTCAATCAATCTTTTCGTGATTTCATCAGCTGCCGCATTAGATGCCGTGCACACTAATATATTTTCCGTCGGAAGTTGCGTAAGAATCTATCCATCAAAGAAAAAAAAGCGGAAACAAATAAAATATAAAAATAAAATTAAAAAGCTCTTTGCCGTGTTAGATATAAGAAATTACCTGACATATAGCTTCAACTAATGTCGCTGTTTTTCCGGTACCTGGGGGACCAAAAATTATATAAGGTGCAGGGTGGCTCGTCTTACTCAGTATCTTCCTCACCGCTTGCTTCTGTCGTTCATTCTCCTTCATATTAGTATTTATCCATTCGATATCACTGCACAGAGTGTACATACGTTTAGAGTTATGATATAGTTTCAAACAATAAACTCTTCAATTTTAAACCTTACATTTCCATATCTGTGCAAGCGGTCCGTGCTCGTGGGTACGCAATCTCAATCCAATTGCATGTACTTAATATCGATAATGCATAATGACAGCATCTCAATGACCAATGTACATCCCAGAAATTTATATCAAATTTACTGTTCTCGTTTCCCAATATTTTTGCATCCCTAAACGATATCTCATCATTTTTTATATATTGTGTGTATTAAATATCTCCTCAGTTTCTATCATAATTATACACTATTATATTACAATGCTAGAAAGACTAAATGTATTTCCACAAATATTTAAATATGTGGGATAAACACTGATTAGCAAAGTAGTTACATGTCAACTAAAAAGCCCATACAGCACCAAAGCTTTCAGAAACATTTCGGAAAACATTGCAATATTGCAATGTTTCTGAAATGTTTCTGAAAGCTTCGGTGCTGTATGGGAGCTCATTGTAGTTCTGAGATTTCTTGCCACTTCATAAAAGGAATTCTGAATAAAGGTATTGTTCCACCGTGTTAGAAGAAAGTAAAACAAATCCAAGATGACCTGATAATATGAATTGTGATACTGCGTTCTCTTTGCAGAATGAAAATACAAGAGAAAAATATAAAAGAAAACCTAAATTAAGATACTTTATCCCATAAGGATAGACATCTGTTAAAGTACAAAAACAAATATAAAAGAAAACATAATAAAAAGTTGTAGTTAGAATACTTACATAGGACACAAGGCTTTGATTATTACATCCTTTCCTTGCACTTCCATAACTCTGGCCACAACTACTTTGTTTGTAACAGTTTCCTTAAGAGTCACATTCAAATTTGACTTAATTACGTGAAAATCACTGTTCACATATTTCATACTAATAATAAAATGATCGTTATCATGTTCAGATTTCTTAACTGCATAATTAAACCGTGTGTACTGTTTCAATTTAAGATCTTCGTCAAAGTGTATTAGGTACAAGCACGTTTTCCACGTGATCAAATAACCCGAATAGGTTATTTTTTGTACATTGGGCAAACTTTCAATAAACCTCATGTAATTGTTACACAGACTCGAATCAACAAGACAATTCGATTTTAGATATATGTTTTTTAATGCAGCATGTAAATGTGGTGGGATAGTAATTTGCGGCAACGTAAATCTCGGCGCTAATGCAGGTGCTGTGCAATACCTAAAATTTAATCAAATTTAATTATATATGCTGTAAATAAATGACTGGACAAGTTCAAATTGGATAAATTAACATCTACTGTATAAATACAGAGTTGAGATATTATTACATCTCATATTATAACAAATTGTTTGCGTATTGTATACTATTTAAAAGTTGTTTCGTAATGTTAATGTTATATCCAAGTTATAATTTTTGTTACATGGGGTTCCAGCTTGCGTGTCCCTTCTCCATGATGAAAGTAAATATTTTTTTTAATCGCCAAGTATACTATCGAAACGCCGAATTGGACCTAAAAACCATTTTACAAAGAAAAAACAAATAGATACTCAGACGTCTAGAATTTTGAGCACATATATCGTAAGTATTCACGAGAGGATTGTAAATAGTCAGAAATTTTGCATCACAAAGTTCGCAACTGTCCTTAAATAATTAAGCTAATACTCTTCTCTTTTATACATCTTGCTTATCCACGTGTACAGCAAGTATTGCACAAAGTAACGTACAAAATACTTACATTCACAGATGAATCATCGCGATACCGCATGAGCCGCGTATTATTTCAAAGAATTCTAAAATTACAAGAACAAACTACGCGACATCCATAACCACACCCGATGCATCCTTCGTTTCCATCGTTGTCCTATGGCAAGTGGCAACAACGCCAACAGTGGCTCAGGACTCGGGGGATTCCCGATGCATCATCTATCAGCTGTGCTGGATACAGCAGAAAAAAAAGAGTTGTAAGCACTTAGTCATTCTTTAATATGATTGGTTGTTGTCTTTTTTGCCAACTGGATTGCACTACCACTGCCGGCGTGGTGAGAGCCAATCAGGATGCAGCCTTAAATCACCTGACCTATCACACTTTCATTCTAATTAACTCCACCGACAAAGAGGCGCACGCAGCAGAGTGCGTACAGAAAGAGACAATGTACTCTTCGATAAATAATTTAAATCAATGTAAATACCTACACTTTCTCAAATACAAAAAATACCCAGGCACAAGACCCGCGAATTCTTTTTCTCAGCACATAATGTGCTGCACATTCCATAGATGGCTATTTCTTAGCGCACCACACCCGAGCGTTATTTTTTGTATTCTACTTATAAAAGATTATTTTAATAATAGCATAGATTGATGCATATATATCATGCGGTGTCATTACTACAAGTATAAGCTCCAATGTTACTCTATCTCTTCTGCAAAAGTATCTTCTCTACAAAATTATCTTTCCTGCAAAAGTATCTTTTTTACAAAAATATTTTTATAAAAATATCTTTCCAAAAATACCTCTTCAAAAATATTGTCTCTACAAAAATCTTCTCTACAAAACTATCTTCTCTACAAAAGTAATGATATCATCAACAAATTACGCCTAATATAACAATGGATATTTATACATGTATAACGCGTATCTTTCTTCTACTGTAACCATTCTGTAAATACATCTCATTCGGCCAATAACGTATCGACAGCACCGATGAAAAGCACAGCAACTTTTAGAAATTTAGAAACTCTGTATCTATTCAGGCGAATTAGGCCTGTGTCCATGACTACGTTTACACGCGACCCTTAATCGTGTTTAATAACATCTGTAGTTATAAAATTGGCCAATCACAGCTATTCCTCAGAAGAATGGAATGACTGTGATTGGTCAGCCCCTTAACTACGGTTGTTATTAAATCCGATTAGAGTGCCGTGTAAACATAGTCCATGATGCTAATACTTGGTCCAAGTTTTAATTCCGCGAAATATGTAGCCAATCAATATAGCTGTTCCACAAAAGCTGCAAGTTGTTTGGCTACGCATTTCTCAAAACTAGAACTTGGATCAAGTACTAGCATCATGGACACAGGCCTTAATTCGCCTGAATAGATACTGAGTTTCTAAATTTCTAAAAGTTGCTATGCTTTTCATCGGTGCTGTCGATACGTTATTGGCCGAATGAGATGTATTTACAGAATGGTTACGGTAGAAGAAAGATACGCGTTATACATATATAAATATCCATTGTTATATTTGGCGTAATTTGTTGATGATATCATTACTTTTGTAGAGAAGATAGTTTTGTAGAGATTTTTGTAGAGACAATATTTTTGAAAAGGTATTTTTGGAAAGATATTTTTATAAAAATGTTTTTGTAAAAAAGATACTTTTGCAGGAAAGATATTTTTGTAGAGAAGATACTTTTGCAGAAGAGATAGAGTAACATTGGAGCTTATACTTGGCGCATTTTTTACCTTTTTTTTAAAAAGGTAAGTTTTTTAAGTGATATCAAACCTTTTGTAGTGTTAAATACCTCATACTGTTTATCACAACGATTGCACTACACGGTTCTCGGACCGAGATATCGATCCGAGATCTGTCACAAGAGTTATATTTTATTACATTACAAAACATACGTCACCGATCGTGCACACTCACAATCAGTTACACAGTCTTTTGCCGCGCTAGTGGTACTTGAGAAGACACCTCACAATCAGTCCCTAATGCGACAAATATATCAATCACGAGACACGTTATTATTAAATAAATCGGCACAAAGGTTAGGTTCACTCTATTTATACGTGCGCTCGTAAGTCGGTAACGTCAGTCACGTCAGCCGCGCCAATGCCACGTTGCGGTAAAAATATGAAATGGACTTTGGGCTGGTCGACGACGACGACGTTTCTTAACGTCGATTTCTGATGACACCATCATTTTTGCATTACAATATCTCCACTCATGGGGCACGTAGGAGAAAAATGAAAGCACTTTAATTATGTAAATCGAACCCAAGCTATCGATTGAGCCCATTTAAAAGTTCGTCGGATCAGCCGTTGTTGAGATCCGAAAATCTGAGGACCCGTCAATTCGCGTACTCGCGTAAACGTACACGGTCGGTCTCGCGCGCGCGGTTCTAGTTAATATTATTATAACTAGTGAGCTCATACTTGGCGAGAGACACTACCGTGTCTCGTGATACAATGTACGTTTCAGCGTAGGGCGCAAACTTTGGAGGGGCGCCTACGGTCTGGTTTCACCAACGTTGTTTAACTTTGAGCTTAGCTTAATTCGTTCTTTGTCTCTTTTCAACCGTTACTTTAGAAAGAGACAAGTATGAATTAAACTAACAATGCCTGCTTTCGTTTTCTCCCACTGGGAGCAGAAACTATACTGAAAGTCTATAATTTACGTAACGTAATCTACAGAGTTTCAGTATAGTTTGTGCTCCCAGTGGGAGAAAACAAACGCAAGCAATAAGATTGAAGCGACGTTTGGTGAAACCGGGCCTAAGCATGTCACCGACGCGTCGGTGCCGTTAAGATTCGATTTCACCAATGTTGTTTAACTTTGAGCTAAACTTAATTCGTTCTTTGTCTCTTTTCAGCTGTTACTTTAGAAAGAGACAAACATGAATTAAACCATAGTATGAGGGTGAGTCAAAAATTATCTGCACTTTTCGTTCTACAATTTATTTACACAAAAACAGGGGTTCAATATGTTCATCATTTTTTAACATAGTCTCCTCCCTTGGCAATGCACTTGGTCCAGCGGTCCACAAGCTTGCGTATTCCTTCCGAGGTTTTCGGTTGGTCGCAAAGCCACTTTTGCACCGCTTCCTGCACGTCTGCGTCTGTAGAAAATCGACGACCTCGTAAAGCATCCGCCTAAACAGATGAACCGAAAACCTTCTTGGAATAAATACGCAAGCTTTTGGACCGATGGACCCAAGTGCATTGCCAAGGGAGGAGACTATGTTGTAAAATGATGTACACACTGAACCCCTATTTTTGTGTGAATAAATTGCAGAACGAAAAGTGCAGATAATTTTTTACTCACCCTCGTATAACTAGTATGCCCACTCTGTCATTTGTTTTGTTTTGCGTCGATCCTTTCTGCGCATCCACCATTATTTTGGTGAAGCCAATGGCTACGTTCAGCATAAAAAGCTGCTTAGCAACTGTTGTAAAATTCGTGAATCTGATCGGCGTATGCTCTTAAATTCACTCAACATTAAAAGAATACGTTATCAGACAGAATCTTTTGCCTAATTTTTGCTTTCTACAATAAAAGTTTTCGATAATCTACGGCGGACTGCTCGGAAAATTAAAGTGATTATTAAAATAATTGATATTCCCGCAGTTGTTCTAGATACATTATAACAAAAGACTGCATTATGCATATTTATTAATTTTTTTTAACATTACAGTAATAAAATTACGTCTAAAAAAAGAAACCCGCGCGAGAAACATATGATATAATCAGACTGTATGTGAAATACTTATCTAATGTACGCGTAAAGAATCATTATTTTAACATATGTCAAGAATGGCGATATGTTTTATGTATGACGAGAAAAACTATATTATACATGGTTAAATAAATCTGCCGTGCGCAGAAGTCAAAGCGTCATCCGCGAATCTGTCGGTGGAGCATGTTCAAATGATAAGAAGCGCTACTCGTTACGCAACATAACGGATTCTCATCTTCAGTTCTGTTATGTCGCGTCACGAGTAACGCTACGCTTGAACGTCATCGAGCGTACTTCCGTCGCGCCGACTTTTCCAGGCTTGCCGGCGGTGGAGGAAACGCTGGAATTCGGCGTGGGGCTCTGCGACGGGGACGCCCGTTCGTCATTGGACTTTTCGCGTTCCAACCGCTGCTTGCTAAACTTGCCCATGCCAGGTCTGTAAATCTCCATCGCCGGACGATCCTACGATTGATCGGATAGCCAATAAATATTTTCATCCCAATGGCCGTGTTAATGATGGACAGGAAAATATTTATGTATTTCCCTTTCCATCGTTACTACAGCTACAAAAAAATTAAGTGTATGTACATTTCATAGAATTGTATTAGGTGGTAAAGTTAGTTTCCGCGGCTCACCTTTAGATGACGCTAGTTGTAAGTGTAATTTACTTTGACATCTAAAACTATCTGACTTTTTGCCATATTTTTCTTTCGATTAAACATAGAACGTGATAAGTTGTTTTTTCGCCGTGCGCTACTTCATTACTTGGATTTGAAAAAAAAACTGCAGCTACAGCTCGCAAATTACTTGTCGAAGCTTATGGCAATTGTGCTCCATCGGGAAGAACATGCCAAGAATGGTTTCAGCGATTTAAGTGGTGATTTTAATGTAAATGATAAACAACGCCCAGGTCAGCCGAAAAAGTTTAAAGACACCGAATTGCAAGGCGTCGTTTACTACGAGCTACTCAGACCGAACAAAAGTATCGCGGGGGATCGATATCAATTACAACTGAACCGTCTGAATGAAGCATTGTTGTAAAAAAAAGGCCAGCAGTAGCCAGCAGTAGCCAGCAATCGACGCAAAGTTATTCTTCTGCACGACAACGCTCGACCACACGTTGCAATGTCCTTCGCATGTGAACAAGAGAGAACAAAATAGCACAAAACAGAGTTTGTCCTTTTCTATGTGAACCTCTACTCCCACTGCTCAAATAAAGGCAAACGCTCGGTCTAGATATATTATGTCTATGCTTTGCTCTTTCAGATTATCACTTGTACCGATCGATGCAGCACGACTTGGTGGATACACTTGAAAACTTACAAAGATGTGCGAAAATGGATCGATGAATGGATTGCATCAAAAGAGCAATCGTTCTATCGTTGCGGAATCCACTCAGAAAGATGGAAAAATGTATAGCTAGCGAGGGCAAATACTTTCATTGGTGTATTTTTTGCTTTTGATATCGAAATAAATGACTTTGTTAAACAAAAAACGCCGCGGAAACTAAGTTTACCACCTAATATATCACGGAAAGAAATATATGTATATTTTTATAGATCTAAAGAATTAAAAAGAAGGAACCATATGTATGTATAATATCCACGTTTGAGAAAGCATGTTTACTTTGCATATTTATGTGAACCCTTGACAGCTCTTTCTTTATATGCAGAGAAACACTATCAAATGACAATACAATTGCATTTTTACCACTAATGTATCTAAATTACACAATATACAGGGTGCTCCCGGGTTAAATGGCCAAACTTGAAAGATGTATTTAGGACCACACACACAAAGCAAGAAAAATTTTCCTCCGGAAATATGCTCGTAAACGTTCCGTTCAAGAGATATTGACGTCTGAAGTTATGAACTGTTAGGAATTAATAACTTCGAAATAATTTAGATTTATCCTCTTTATTGCTTTTTAATAATAAAAATTTAATTAAACATTTTGTTCAAATGATGGCCTCCAGCTTGGAGACATGCATTGCACCTATCGATGACAGAATGAGTGGCTGACTGACATTGTGCGTCTGTAATTTCGTTACACGCCTGCACTATCCTCCGTTTTAATGATTCAAGATCATTAACAGGTACTTCATACCAGTTTATTCGACGAAAACATTCAACGAACTAAGTACGATGATACGATGCTTTGTTTACCATGCAAATAAAAGCCTATCAATGACCTTCGATTTCGTAAACGAAGTTCCGTCGTACTGTATGTTTTGCGATTGGTTTTTAAATCAAACAAATTATGATTTACAATTCTCGCAAAACATTTTATGGACAGATGAAGCCATATTTACCAGACAAGGAATTCTGAATCGAAGAAAGTCATATTTCGAAATTATTCATTCCTAATAGTTCATAACTTCAGACGTCAATATCTCTTGAACGGAACGTTTACGAGCATATTTCCAGAGGGAAATTTTTCTTGCTTTGAGGTCCTAAATACATCTTTCAAGTTTGGCCATTTAACCCGGGAGCACCCTGTATATCTCATCTTGGGATGCTAATTAAATTAGTAGGAAGCAACTGCTCGTTGAGCAAAAGATTCCGAGGTTTAATTCCCGGAATTATATCACTTTGCATTAAATTTTTTGAATGGGCAAAACTACAAATCCAAAATATATATTTAATTTCGAGATGGCTACGAATAAACCAATCACGATATTGCGGTTATTTCCTTGGAGAACAGAAACCTTCAAACCTTTTTCTAGAGGTGGACAAGGGACTTACCAACACTTGCCCGTAAAAATTGCGATTGTAAATAAAAACAAATAAAGTTCCCGAGATTGCAGCGCTTGCACATTAGAGGCAAAGGTACAATCCGGACTCAATAGTGTCATCGACGAAGCTCTTACCTTATTTCGTATCCTACGCTCTAATCGTGGATCTTTCTTATCTTTCTCTTTCTCCTCGTTATCGTTCTTCTGGAGGTTACTTTGGCCTCCTCCGTCTAACGATTTGTGACGCCGTAAGCAATTGCCATCACCCGCACCGCCTTCGCCGCTACTCTCGAGGGAATTACGCCTCTTTACAACCTTCGATTCTTTATCTTCGGAATCGTCCTCGTCGTTGACATCTGTGCAAATGTGTTTGTTACATCATATTACATTTGTCACAAAAATATTCGTTATACAGATATCCTCCCCTCCGTTTATTTAGCGGATACACAAAATCGATTCTGTTGCGTTGCTAACTAGATAGACATTCAAAACGTGTACTTATTTTACGACGAGAGTAGCTCCCATCTAGTTTTGCACAAAACAACGTTATTAAGTTCCTGAAGATGTTGAAATCAATAACGCTAAAAAAAATGAGGGAAGAAGTAAATTCTCCTCTATGATAATCATACGAATAAACTTTGTCACCTGCATTGACCGAACCATTCCCTTCTTCTACACTATCCTGGCAACTCTGTACCGCGTCCATTGTTATCCCATCCTCGGCAATATGCAGCTCGCATTCGTTGTCTTTAGCATGCCTCAAATCGTCTCCGTTAAACACAGACTCTATGCCATTTTCATTTTCCCCCTCTTGTACGATATCGTGTTCCTCTTTCGCTTTCTTCGGATTCGAATCGTCCCCGTTGGCATCGGCGATCTGTTTCTTCGTTTCTGCCAACTTTTTCTTCTCTTGTCTCATTTTCTCGTAACTTTTTCCCCGTCTTTCCTCTACCTTTTTGTCTCTGGGCTCTCTAAACTCTTCCTTCATCTCATACCTCCTGTCATCTCGGAGATCGACCCTCCTCTCCTCTCTTTCATCGCGTCTTCCGTAAGGCTTTTTCTCATCGTATCGCCGTTGCTTGATCTCTCTTTCCTTATTCCTATCTTCAACGCGCTCCCTGTATCCCTTAATGATAGGCTTGATTTCTCGATCTCGCGTCGATTTCTCTCTTATCTTCTCGTCTCGTTTATTTCTATTTTTCAGTTCCTTCGGCGAAAGCTTATCTCTCTCCTCTTTATTCTCTTTATCGTCTTTGCTCGATTCTTTATCCAACTCTGGATTCCTTAGAACCTATTAAAAAAAAATAAACATCGTGCATCTTATTCTATTATTGCTATTATTTTTATGCAGTGGCCAGTTTCAGATAAACATTTCAATTCAATTGTTGTGTTGATATATCTACTATTCTTTCTTTACCGCTCTTGACGACAGCTCATTGGACAAACTTGTCAAAATGTGAAGGAATAATTGTCGGCGACACGAAAATCGAACCAAAATATTTATCTGACATCGATCTCTGTTCTAGTGTATTTATTGCTTTTAATCGTCTTACAGACTTCTTGCATGTTATTACAACGAAATATGTAACTAAATGTATAAATCAGATCTTTCTTTTTTAAATTCTCTTCAAAAATTGGGTACAAATTAAAATGATTGTAAAGAGACCATGTCCTATACATGTACATATGGAATTACATAAAGTTTCAAGAAATCTATAGATATAAAATTAATTGCGATAAATATGCAATAAACGCTCCTCTCTCGAGAACCATCACCGAATCAACTCGTCAGCTCATCGATTTTTCCGCATGTCTCACGACACAGCAGTGGATCAATTCACACAGTTAAATCCTTTTAGCCCATTCTTTTTATACGCCGTACTGAAGTAACATACGATTCTTTCAGCATAAACATTGTACCGGAGCTTTCTCGCAAGTCAGGAAGAAATTCGCGGTTACTAGCGTAAACGAAAAGAATCTCAAATATTTTCTAACGCATCAAATGTAAATTTAAGAGAAAAGCAAAATGAGTTATTTTTTTCTTTCGCTAATGAAAAACTTTCTTACATAATGGCCTTTGTGGAAACAGAAATAAGTTTTGCAGTTAACTTGATTGTTGCCAGTTAAATATCGTTTTTTGACATCAAACATACTTCTAATCGGTTTTGTCTTTCTAACGTGCTCGTAAAACCTTTCATGAGTCTTATACAATTTCCCTTGCGCCCGTTTATACAGAAATCTATTGAGGAGAATCTCTTCTTCGTATTTACATGTACTTCTATTTTCGACAAAGCATTGAAAAACCGTGTCTTCAAATTTGACATTTATGGGGCTTGGTGTGGGAAAGTTGTGTGATTGTTCGTCTTCCGCGTTATATATGTGCTGCAGATAAAAATGTTTTGCCATCAGCAAATACAGTAAAGAATGAAGTGCATGGCACAAAAATGTCTCAAGCTGGATAAGTTATTACGAGCAAAATAATTAGTATCAAATATATTCCGTACTGTATTTGTTGCCAACTGATGCATCAGCTCGATTACTCTACCTTAGAAATAACAGGATCGTCTTTGGTCCTTCGTCTTTCTATATCCCTTCGTCGCCTTTCCTCACGTTTTTCATCTCTAAGACGTTGTTTCTCCTGCTTACGAAATTTCAAATACTCGAGCAGTGGAGTCGTCGTGATCTTCTTCACCGTATCTACAATATAATACATTATAATATTAAGACACTTTATATACATACATAGCTGCAGTATTTACTTAAATAATATAGAGGAAAGTCCCCTATTAGAAAATAAGCTCCTAATTCGAGACAGCGGAGTTTCTGTTAAATTAATGGGCATCATCTGTTGATTCCACCATGAATTTATTGCCTTTGGAGTGAAATCTGTTTAGTGAAAAATTCATTGTTAAATTGTGCAATCGTTACGAAAAGAAAGATGTGTGGTTGAATTTGGGTGTTGAACACTTGCTGTCTCGTATTAGAAACCTATCTCATAATAGAGGACTTTTCTCTACACGAAACGGAAAGCACTCACTGTCAGGTGGTTGGTAAGAATACTCAGTTTTCGATTGGGCTACACTTGTATCAAGCTCCTGATTTTTTAAATTCTCCAAGAAGCTTAGGTAATAAGAGTCGCTCTCGATGGTGCCACATTTGGCGTCCTTTTTCTTGCCCACTCGTTTCTTTGGTAATCTTTGAAATGGCGCAAATTCCACCACTGCAGAATATTCCACGCCTTTAGAATCCACGAAGACATAGTTGTCAAATTTCTCCCGAAACATAAAGATATCTTGTTGCTCCGTGAAATTGATGTAGGCGCGACAAAACGCAAACTGGCCCAGGGACATGTCTGCTTTGACGAAGTACATGTAATCGTGTTCCGGCAGTGGAGAAACTTGCTCTAAGAATTGATCCTGAGTCATCGTTGGAGGCAGTCTTCTGATCACCACCTAATTCCAGTCAATGGTGTTACACTATTATATTTCGCACAGAAACGCAACATTTCGACATCGTAAGCTACATTTTCTAACAATTGATCTTGATATTGATATTTCGATTACAGATGCCATACGCATTGTTCGTGTAATTTTTATGAATAAAACTTGTTTCCAAAAGCATCCCATCATTCAAATACAGGTAACATCAAAATTTTGTTAAAAACTTTTGTATCTCACGTTTGTGCAGCATGGTACAGTAGGGTAAATTATAAACATATTTGGTCCTTGAGGATTTTATAAAACTGAATATCATTTATGTACATAGGAATAATGGGACAGCATGTTTAAACCCAGGAAATGCTTAGTTCTCTCATGTAAACAATCGCCTGGAGTGCTTTTATTGCATTTAAAAGCTATTATTAACTGCATATCGTATACTACACAGTAACAAATTTTGTGTTGAATTTAACACATTTTACATGTCCCGATTTATCCACTCTAATTGTACTGTTACTTTAACAGAAAGCAAATAGTAAAAGTAACATGTAAAAAATTAACACAAAAAGTAACGCTTGGACATCATTTTGAAAGTAAAAATTATGTTAAATTAACACATTTATAATGTTAAATTTTATTAAAATAAAATAGTATTCTGTGGAAACAACACATTGACTGGTCGCGCGACAATCGTGTCCGTGCTTGTACTATATGGTAAGAGTGAGGAAATAAATCAATTTTATTTCTTACTCCTACTTCAGCTCTTACGCTTACTCTCGGTGAATCAGAATACCATCGGCCAGTGTTACATTTTAAAAATTATGCCTGTATTTTAGCTTCCTTACACCCAAAGCTAAAAATTATGGTTCTCTCTTATTCCATACTCCAAGCTTACTCCACGTATTGTAGACATTTTACTTTTTAAGAAGTTTGTTACTCCAAGCATGTGCTAACGGCCGAGCGCCGTAAAAGACATCTTGTGCATAACTTTTAAGCCTGATCTAGAAATATTTTATTTTGTAGTCAATAAATATGTTTAAACAATTTGTGCAAGTCGATAAACTGTATATTACACATTGTATAATCGTACTTTGTTGACAAATTTTTTAAGCGTTTTAATTTGCTTATATAAAACAAAATGTTTCAAGACGAAAAGGTCACATTGTAAATGAGACTTCAAACAAGGACTTTGAATGCAAAACATTGTCTTAAAAGTACAAGACATTCTGTTCAAGCCCTAAAAAGCAGTACAGTCTACGTAACGCCAGTCTAGCGGTCCAAGGGCCTGAGCAGAATAGCTGTCTTATACTCTTAAGACAATGATTTATGTTATAAATCTTTGTCTTGAGGCGATGGTCAGTAGCTGCCTTGTGTATTAAGAGAGAAGACGGCCATTCTGCTCAGGCCCTAACCTAGCAAAGGAGGGTCACTAGGCCGCGACGTGGACGTATTGTATCTCACGGTGCTCGGCTGTCTATACAATATACAGATACAATATAGAAAAGTTGCGCAAAGCATGTAACGATACCGTTAACATTTACACAATAGATCATTTAAAATCCGGCCGGCTCTACCGTTCTCGTCATTATCGCGTTTCGTAGTGTCGTTAAAAAAACGAAGAAACTATGAAAGAATGTATGTCGCGACAAGAAGGAATTCGTATTTGTTATTGGGGCCCAGGCGAACCTTTGTTATGGGACGACATTTCTCTTTCTTGTTATCTTTGGTTTTCCCGACGTCCGAATTGGCCTGCGTGTCGTTCTGCACGGAACAGCTGTCGTTCTGCGCAGCACTTTCGGACTGCTGCGCCTCCTCGGTCATTCTGACTCACGACATACAATCGCGATCACTTCCCGAGATTCGAGAAACTGTTGGTTTCGTCGTCAGTACCGGTTCGAAATATATATGTCGTATAATTTTGCTTTCTCGACGATCAAACGAAGAAGTCCTCTCCGCGTTTACGCGACTATCACGGCCATCTTGGATCGATCCTGCACAAAATAGAGAGAAACCTGAGAGCGGCCACGTCGGCGTTTTACTTGAGTTCTGGAAAACAGAGAGGCGACAACAGAGGATTCGGTTTGATTGGCTATCTGAATCACATGATCAAAACGCCATATTGTTTCCAGTCAGAGACCTAGTTTAAGGCCTTCACACATAAAATTCCATAGATGCTATGTAAAATTCCGTAAGGACGTAAAACGTAAGCGTAAGAAAATCAACAGGTTGGATTTGCTACTGTTTGCGTCATTGCCTTACGTTCTCGACTATGATTGGTCGATTTTCTTATGCTTACGTTTTACGTCCTTACGGAATTTTATGTGTGAAGGCCTTTACATCGTGCACGTGATACGCGTATCAAATATATAGTAACAAATAGTAAATAACTAATAAATTCGTTTGGTCATTGGCTGATCAGTTCAAATACACTATTTGATACGCGTATCAAGTGCACGATGTAAACTAGGCCAGAGCTGAGAGGCAATAATTTTATTGTAAGATTTCTTTTTTTACACAAATATACAGAAATTGAATAGTATGGAAAGATACATATTTCGCAAAAATATACTCTTTCTATTACATTATTAAGCCCATCTTTATCATTGCAGTTTTGTACAACTGCATAATTCACAACATTTCTTAACCGTTTATCTTCTGAAAATATTAACATTAAAAAATTTTTCTCTCTACACATACAATGCACTTTCGACTTATCTTATTTGAAAAATTATTATAATTATAATTATTTAAAATACTACGGGTATTTCAAAACATTTACAATTATCTCATTTGACCAACTTTTACGTACCTTTTTATGATAGTTTACAATATTTCTTTTCAAGTTAATCTTTTTTCACTTGCAGCCACTGAATATAAATACGTGGTGTGTCTAAAAAATTCGGTGAATCATGGTTAAATATCTTGGTATTCAACGGTTGAACGAAGTCGCGAGCATGCTTAAAGCCCGTATCAGACTACGGATTGAGATTGGGATTAGATTGAAATTTGACCAATCAGAGTAAAAGTTACTGAACTTAAGATTAGTAAATTTTACTGTGATACGGGCTTAAGCCCGTATCAGACTACGAATTGGGATTGGGATTAGATTGAAATTTAACCAATCACAGTAAAATTTACTAATTTCAAGTTCAGGAACTTTTACTCTAATTGGTCAAATTTCAATCTAATCCCAATCTCAATCCGTAGTCTGATACGGGCTTTAGGCTGGGTCTACATAGAGTCCCTGTAGTAAGAGTCTGGCAAGAAATATTCTCCGTTTGATTGGTTTGACGCGAAATGGCGGAACCAATAAGGTGTCTCAAATCTGTACTTTGAACACGGGATTATAATTATTATTATTATTATTTGGTTACCTTTGGTCTGTTCGTTATCGCTGCATTACTGCACTAGTGCATTACGAACGGACCAGACGCCATTTTGCGTCAACCCTTGCCTGACTCTTAAGGCCAATGTCCACGATCCAAGAACTGTGTCCAAGTTCTAGTTTCGAGAAATGCGTAGCCAATCAGCTTGCAGCTATTCCATACAAGCTGCATGTTGATTGGCTGCGCATTTCTCGAAACTATTGGGCTTTAGGCTGGGTCTACATAGGATGTAGTAAGTCGTGTCGGAAGAAATTGACCAATCACAGTTCATTATTCTCCTTACGGAGATCTTGAAGAATAATGAACTGTGATTGGTCAATTTTTTTCGACACGACTTACTACATCCTATGTAGACCCAGCCTAAGGAGAATAAGGAACTGTGATTGGTCAATTTCTTCCGACATGACTTACGACAGGGGTGGGCAAAATGCTGCCCGCGGGCAACGGGCGCCCGCGAGCGCCCGCGGGCGCCCAGCCGGCGGGCATGCCCCCACTCCAATCATCGCCCCACCACGTCTACAATCATGTTCGGCTGCATCGCTTTCAACTCTCACACACCGTAAGCGATTTTCTTTGACATATGTATAATGAGCAACATAGATAGAACGCTTTAGCGTATGAGTGCTCAAAGAAAACACGGAAATATTTATTAATTAGATTATATAAATAAGTAAATACTTAATAAAGTAAATACTTTTATACGTTGGAGCAAGTAATTACATTAATTACTTTTATTAGAACATTTTCTTTCATAGGCCATTTCTATTTACAATAAATAATGTACGCCAGTTCGTATGCGCCTTTCCTGGATACGATCCTGAAAAGGGCCCAGGCACTTTTAGCCGTTGATACACTGTTGGATATAATAAAAATATGGCGGAAAATTGAGAACGCCCAGATCAAAGTGCCGACAGAGAGTGGGCATACTGGTTATACTGTGGTTATACTGTGTTAGTACTTTTTTCTTTTTCGTCGGATAAGAAAAATCAGATTTACCTCTGAATAAACCGATGACAAGAGGCCAAATAGAACGATTGACGCGGTGGCTTTTAAAATCCGCGCCAGTCGGACAACCCGCTAGATGGCTCGAGATGGCTCTGATGGCGCTCGAGAGGGGACTACTTCGCCGGAAATCGGCGCCGGTGGTTGCGCGGCCGGAGTATATAAGTGCGCGTAGGACGTCGCGCGACGCTCTTCTGCCTCAGTAAGAGTAGAGTTGTGTTCACGTGTGGTTGTGTGCGTTTCCTCTTTCCCAGAAATAGGCCACACACAACCTACGTCCATTCCGTGAAACTAACTCTTCTAGAAAAACCCAAAAAAAGTAAAAAATCTCCGTAAAAAACGCATACAAAAAAATCGCAAAACCGTAGGCGAAAACCGTCGTAACCTCGGGTAACAGCGTGGTAAAAAAAAAAAGTAAGAAGAAACACGAGAGAAGTTGAGTGCTACGAGCCAGAGCGAGCCGTCGACATCCTCAGGGAAAACGGACGGAGCATTCATCTACCCGCAACAGGCACGCAAAAAAATAAAATAAGTTGCTCACGCACGAGGCAGAAGCGGAAGAAGATAAGCAGGAAAGCGTGTGCGACGAGAAGGCTGCAAGAGTCCTCGGAGGACGAGCCATATTGCGAGGTAGCGGAAGAATAGAGCGAGGCGAGACCGTCGCGCGTAAAGAGAAGAAATCGTTCTGCCTCTCTATCCCCGGCGTGATACTCCGCGTCCGCCATGAATCCCGGTGCACCCAACTACCCCATGGCCTCGCTTTACGTGGGCGACCTACACACCGACATCACCGAGGCGATGTTGTTCGAAAAGTTCTCGTCGGCTGGGCCTGTGCTGTCGATACGCGTGTGCCGCGACATGATCACCCGCCGCTCGCTCGGCTATGCATATGTCAACTTCCAGCAGCCGGCTGATGGTGAGTCATCGTCGTCTTCATCAGAATTATTATCTTTAACGCAGCGCTGTTCCAATGATGGTGATGGTGGTAGTGGTGGTGGCGGTGGTGGTGGTGGTGGTGGTGGTGGTGGTCAATGTGGTGACGCAACGTGGTTTGCGCTCGAATGGCCGCCCGCTGCGTGCTACACACGTGCCAACGTGCCTACCATATTGGATCCACGTTCTCGCTCGGACGTGATAGTAGTTAACGGTTAAACGGACCCGCCTTCCCGTACGGGGAAGGCTATTTCCTTTTCTTCCTTTGTTGCAACATTACCTGTAGGCTCTACGGCCACGTGTGGTTTTCATTTTTCTTTCGCCCTCCGTCTTGGAGATTTATTCGACGTCGAAACTCGTGACTCGGACGTTAGGCTAATATTAAATTTGTCGTACAACTGGGACTAAGGACCTGAGCAGAATGGCTGTCTTGTACTCTTAAGACATAAGACAGTTATTGTGCGTTATCTCAAGACAAAGGCTTAAAACATAAAACATTGTCTTAAGGCTGTCTTAGGGACCCTTAGTCCCAGTCTACAATAGATGATTTAAACCCTAAGCCCTAAGAAACTGACCGATCAAGTATGAGTAGAATGCGCGACTGTGATTAGTCAATTTCTTAAGGCTCAGGATTTTTATTTCTATTGTACAATAGATGGGCACTTATGCAGGATTCACACTGGATCCGACGTACGACGTCCGATATCCAATATGATTAGTTTATACTTTAAGATCCAGCGAGGAACCAAAAGAAGAAAATCAATCATTAGATATCTGATGTATGTACGTCGGATATCGGATCTAGTGTGAATCCTGTATTAGGGTACTACTACATTTGTCGTACAACACATTTTTCAAGCGTGCTGGTTAGTTGTAGAATATAAAAGTTGTCGAGTCTTTAGAAATTATCTATTCTATAGACAATCGACACGCTTGAAAATCTTGTCATATGACAAATGTAATACTAGCCTTACGAAAGCCGAAAACCGTCTTCGAATTTTTCATATGGAATCTGTAACTTTTCTTCGTGAATTTTCTTTTTTCCCGTTTCGCGAGTCCGTTTGCCTCCTATCGTCGGTGTCATGTGCGCGTTTTAGGATCCTTTTTCTTTTTCATAAAGATTGCTTTAAAGGGAGAAAGCGTGGCGAGTTTCGCGTGGTTCGCGCGCCGTATCGGTTTCGTATTCTCCGAAATTCAGGAAATATACACAAATATGAAGAGAAATGAGGCAAAAAATGGAGGAGATTCTAGTCTACTTTATGTCAAAGTTATAACCGCGAATTGTTAGAAACGTCTATCAACGAATATTTCCATAGGTCCAAGGAACGTTGTTGCTATAGGAATCTGTTCAGAGACTCAATCATGAATCTTCTCAAGCGTAAATTCGTAAAAAGTGAAAATTTTGATTGACAAATATTAAATTTGTTAATGAAAATTTTAGCTAGAGAAAAAGATTCATGATCGAGCCCCTGATTGAATCTATCCTAATCCGATTGAATTCCCATGATTGTAGCTTTGAGTTAATAAATCCAAATAGATTTGTATAAAGGTCTACATTCGTTACGCGTCCGATAAAAGTTGAAAAATATTAAGATGCAAAATGTTTCTTACTTTCTTTCATGAGACAGAAGTGGAAAAGAATCCTAATTTATTTACCCTGGCTGAGGCAATATTTCTCGCAGTAAATTTAAAAATTAAAATTATTTAAACACTAACTGCCTTGCCTCCTTTATTCCTTCGAATCCGTGATTTCACGTCAGCCTTATGAATTTTATTATTTGTTTAATTTATTTTCTACCTATCGTCAGGGGTTTAAGAGGATCCCTCATCTGTGATGGTGTGCGCCATCTAAACACGAAACGCAGCCTACATAACCACACGGACATACATCTACAATACATCACACCCATGCATAAACGCGAAAGATTCATACAAACTGTATTCTTATTTAAAACCTCTAATCCCAATTTGGAGGGTTTTACAGTAATTTTACATGTAATTCAATCCCAGGAAACTCACTTTCATGTAAGTACAAGTTGTAAAACTTTTATACGAAGCATAAGTTATGACGAAGTGACAGTTCGTCTACAAGGATATAACTAATCAATATATGAATTTTGAAATTTTTACTCATCTTGTATAAAATCGGAGATTCCTTGGATCATTAATGCATATACTGTAATTGTACGCAAGCATTTTTGATTTCATGAATTTAATACGACGAAAGGCAGGAACATTTAAAAGAACTCGTTATATGAAGATTCACGTAAACTACATCCGCACGCTGTGTATGCCTTCCGAAAGAATTTAAAGAAATGGATTCTTTCTGAAGGAAAAAAAATAAAGCGGAGCACTTTCATTTTTTTCACTGCCTGACTCAGGGCCGATTGTCCTAAATTCTTTGTAAGCTTATCCGGCAGGTATCTGTTCGTCTATTATAACACAGATACCTGCCGGATAAAGTTTACCAAAAAATTGGAACACTCGACCTTTGGATCAAACCACTTGGGATAAAAATTTCAACGTTAGAAGCTCGATCATGAATCGTTTCCTCTAGCGTATACTCGTGAAAAGTACAAAATTTCATTGAAGAATTCAATATTCGTCAATGAAATATTTCTAAAGCAAAAGATTCATGATCGAGTCCTAGAAGAACAAACGTGAAGTCCATTTCCAGATTTTTCTTATTGTTTGTATCGTATTTGTCCGCCCTAGCTACATTTTTCGCATTTAAAATAGAGCTAATTGTATTAATACGAACCTTAGATATTTTCCTCTATTATCGACAAATATCTATTTCTCTAAGTCGATGGACAAAATCATAAAAATGTCGATATATTTAAATTAATGTAATTTTAATTCGTACTGAAGAAAGAAAACTTATAAATTCTAATTGAAAGAGCACGCGATTTCTTTATATAAAATTTCCTTGTAATTCGGAATGATACTTCAAATTATTCTTACTTCTGCTCTTATATTTCCTTTAACATCCATGTCAATAAGTTTTTTAAACAGAAAAGTTATAATAAACTAGCTACAGATTTAAGAATAAAAAGTGAGCGTGGAAGGAAAGCGAGTGATTTTCACTTCTTTATTTGTTTAACCTTGAAGTTCAGAGAAACTTTAAAAACTTTCGTCTCCCTTACGAAATTCTGTGCTTTGCATAAATCCATTTACAAAGGAATCCGTATCGTTTGTTGCGCCGAAAAGTTTTGCAACATTGTATTTTGAAAATCATGGTGCCACTTGCAAACGATGCGTTTTTCGTGAGCGTGATCACTTGCGAGTCGATCGATAATGAAAGCTAAATTTGACTGTACTTTGTTCCAGCTTTATCTTTCTTCCTTATGAACTTAATGTAGGTGTGGATATTTTACTTATCAATCCATAGATATCAGACTTTTATCGGACAAGTATTTATTTCTTTTTTTTTCCTTCGATATACGAGTTCGTAGAAAATCATGCAATGTTGCGCAATTTTTCTCTGCAATTACTTGCGACTCGATCTAGAGCCGTTCGTGTATATCATTTATAAATAGTCATCTAAATCTAAAGTAAGGAGCTCTTTCTCCACACGAAAAAAAAGATGTATCAACAAGATCAGTGTAATTGAAATAAATTTGTTGAAACAATATCAATATTTAGTTCAGTGCTTAAAATTAAGATCCATAGCAAAGACAATTGAGTGAATGATTTATGTTTGTGGCAGCCCCTGACATCAACGTTTAATTCAAGCAACTTTATTTTTTTTTGTTAATTTAATATTTTTTCCGTGTATGAATATATTTCATTTTGTAATTTTTAATTTAATTTTGTGCATCAAGTTCTCGCGGAAGCATCTTATAAACTCTTGATAGCTACAAGAACACTCACGTACACGCGTGAATTTATTTAATGATAAGAAATCCGCTTTTTAATAAAAATGGCGATAACGTTCTTGAAAATCTTGTTAGACTTTCGTAGGAACGACACGTTCGCATAAATTTTGATATCTGTGTTTCAGCCGAACGCGCCCTTGATACCATGAATTTCGACATGATAAAAGGGCGGCCTATTCGGATCATGTGGTCTCAGCGCGATCCCTCTCTACGTAAATCGGGCGTCGGAAACGTATTTATTAAAAATCTAGACAAAAACATAGACAATAAAGCAATGTACGATACATTTTCCGCCTTCGGGAATATATTGAGCTGCAAGGTTGCACAAGACGAGTCGGGTGCGTCAAAGGGCTACGGCTTTGTACATTTTGAAACTGAGGAAGCGGCCAACAAATCTATCGATAAAGTCAACGGAATGTTGCTAAATGGAAAGAAGGTAAGGTGGCGCTCTTTATCCAGATTGGATTAAGATAAAAAGTCGTTCGACTTATCCCGCGTTTAACGGTTTTTTCCCGTTTCTCAATACGGATTCTGCTTCCACACACGCACACACACCCCTATTAACCTGGACCCCCCACCATCGCAAATCAAGTTCACACTAGGTAAAAAATTTAGTGCTCTTTAGGTACTAATTTAGTGCCGCAATCCGAATTTTAGTGCTCAAACCGTTTAGCAGGAAATTACGTAAAAAAATGGGGGGGGGGGAGCAGCTTGCCCTTAAGCTGCAAGCCACCATACCCAAAACAATATATGGGCAGGAAATAAGATTCACCCTGTATATGTATATTGAAGTAATAATTATAGTATTTAAATAAGACTGTATACAGGGTGTCCTAATTTAATGTCCCACCCCGAATAACTTTTTTACTTTTGATCGCAGAAAAAAACGTTTCCGACAAAAGTTGTTTTGTTCGAAGGGGGACACAAGACGGTGCCATTAGTTTGACCTTGATGAGTTGCTTGAAGGTCACGTGAAGGTCACCTTCAATTTTTTAAATGAAACCCCCTATTGTTTATTACACTATCTTATTCTACTAATCAACACGAATAACTTTTGTCTGAAACATTTTGCGATTTGCCCAATACTTTTTGAGATATTTGAGAGAAAATCTCTAACTTTTTCAATGTTTAGTTGATGATATCTCGATATCTGTTTGTCGGAGGGAAAAGTAGTACAGGACTTTTTTTACTTGATTCGGTCTCAGGAATGTGCTGTTGCAATAGTGCTCCGATTATTGAAAATTTTTGTGTATTATAACATACACAAAATTTAAATACATAAAAATTTTCAATAATCGGAGCACCATTGCAACAGCATATTCCTGAGATCAAATCAAGTAAAAAAGTCCTGTACTACTTTTCCCTCCGACAAACGGTTATCGAAATATCATAAGCTAAATATGGAAAAAGTTAAAATTTTCTCTTGAATATGTCAAAAAGTATTAGACAAATCGAAAAATGTTTCAGACAAAAGTTATTCATATTAATAAGTAGAATAAGATAGTGTAATAAGCAATAGGGTGTTCCGTTAAAAATATTTAAGGTGACCTTCACGTGATCTTCAAGCAACTATTCAAGGTCACATAAATGATACCGTCTCATGTCCCCCTCGAAACCAAACAACTTTTGTCTGAAACGTTTTTTTCTGCGATCAAAAATAAAAAGTTATTTGGGGTGGGACATTAAATTGGGACACTCTGTATAATATTGTTGGACTGTTAGATTATTAAATGTTTCTACGAAAATTATAGATTGTTGCGTATATACAAAACAATGAACGCGTTAATTTAAGTATATAAGAATTCATCTGACACAAATTTTTTTTCTGTGCAGGTATATGTTGGTAAATTCATCCCGCGTAAGGAACGCGAGAAAGAGCTGGGCGAGAAGGCCAAACTGTTCACGAACGTTTACGTGAAGAACTTCGGCGAGGACATGAACGACGACAAGCTGAAGGAGATGTTTGAAAAGTACGGGACCATCACGAGCCATAAGGTGATGAGCAAGGACGACGGCAAGTCACGTGGCTTCGGATTCGTCGCGTTCGAGGACCCGGATGCTGCCGAGCAGGCGGTGCTCGAGTTGAACGGCAAGGAGATTGCCGAGGGCAAATGCATGTACGTCGGGCGGGCGCAGAAGAAGGCCGAGCGGCAGCAAGAGCTGAAACGGAAATTCGAGCAGCTCAAAATCGAGCGTCTGAATCGTTATCAAGGCGTGAATTTATACGTGAAGAATTTGGACGACACGATCGACGACGAGCGTCTGCGCAAGGAATTTACACCGTTCGGCACGATCACGTCTGCAAAGGTGATGATGGAGGAGGGGCGCAGCAAGGGCTTTGGCTTCGTGTGCTTCTCGCAGCCGGAGGAAGCTACCAAAGCGGTTACCGAGATGAACGGACGCATCGTTGGTTCCAAGCCCCTCTACGTCGCTTTGGCGCAGCGTAAAGAGGATCGTAAGGCGCATCTCGCCTCTCAGTACATGCAGCGCATGGCGAACGTGCGCATGCAGCAGATGGGTCAGATATTCCAGCCCAGTAATGCCGGCAGTTACTTTGTGCCTACGATACCGCAGCCGCAGCGGTTCTATGGGCCTGCTCAGATGGCGCAGATCCGTGCGACTCCTCGTTGGCCGGCGCAACCGAATCAAGTGCGACCGAACGCGCAGACCGGCACCTCCGGATTTGCGTCAATGCAAACTGCACCGTTCCGAACGGCGCCACGCGCTCCCGCCGCGCAGACTAATGCTATGCGTAACAGCATGTCCGCCAGACCCATTACAGGTGATTAATCCAGACATTACAGGACTCGTACGATCCATGCTAATGATTGAATCTTATTGTTGACATTATTTATATTATTTTTATTAGAATTTGTTTTGAACATCAAACATATTAATCCTAGAAATTTATTTAAAATAATGTCAGACATTAATTCTAGAAATTTTAAATAAATTTCTAGGATTAATATGTCTGACATTATTTAAAAGACATTATTTAAAAAGCTTTGACCGTTTTCGGGTCCGAACATAAGATTTCTTAATTAGATCTATTAATGCTGTTTAAACTGACTTGAGAGCATCATATTCTTATGCGGGATTTATACTGAGTCCAATATCTAATATGATTGGACTTTTCTTTTGGTTCCTTGTTGGATTTAAAATTATAAACCAGTCATATTGGATATTGGACGTCGTACGTCTGATATCCAGTATCAATTCTGTATTAGGCATCGATAGTAATTGTATAATATGTATATGAAGATACCTGAGTATATATTCCGTTTATATACATTTTTATGCGTGTGTAAAGATGTATATAAACACAGAATATACTCAAGTAGATATGTCGTATCGTAACAATAATAACTGATCTCCAAGAATTTTCAAACATTCGAGATTCGTGATGTTTAAGATTTCCAAGTTTCCGAACATTTTCGAGATATTGTCTAAAATAATGAGAGGTATTCGTTATATTATTACTGCCGTTATCAACGAAGATTATTACATTTGTCAAATTCTCTCTGTTTTAGGTCAACAAGCAGTTGGTGGTGCCAACATGCAAAGCCGTTCCATGGCTGGACCAGCCGTTGGCGTCTCGCCCGGTCAGAGCCGTCCGACGAATTACAAGTACACCTCGAATATGCGCAATCCGCCGCAAGCGGCTATGACAATGCCCGCACCGAGTGGTCCTTCTGTGCAGCAGGCGGTTCACATCCAGGGTCAGGAGCCGCTTACTGCGTCGATGCTAGCCGCGGCACCGCCGCAGGAACAAAAGCAAATGCTAGGGGAGCGATTATTCCCTCTGATTCAATGCATGTATCCACAACTGACCGGTAAGATCACCGGTATGTTGCTGGAGATTGACAATAGCGAGCTGCTTCACATGCTGGAGCACAGCGAGTCCCTGAAGGCCAAGGTCGAGGAAGCTGTGGCTGTGTTACAGGCCCATCAGGCCAAGCAAGCGGTCGCGCCGAAAAAGGAATAAGCGTTATTTCGTTAATCCTTCATTTTTAATTTGTGAGAATAAATCCCGATTGTTTTTGAGTTTGATTCGATGTACACACGGTGTTGTCTTCATTTATTTTTTATTTTTCTGAATTTATCCAATTTAATCATTTAAGTATGTTCATGTAACGAATTTACTTTCAAAGACGTAACCGGCAACTTCAGAGTGACAGTTGCTTGGGAAATTTATGGAGTGTATACTCTTTTCACGATGTAAAATTTTAGGAAAGGGGACTTGCAACATACACTGGGAAAGATAGGTATTCGGTTTACCTTTGAACACGGTGAGTTGTGTGGATTTATATACAAAATCACGGGAAACGATCGTTCGCCTAGCGTTTAGTTACCGAGAGAAGTAAAGTGTGAAAAAATTTTCCAATCCTAAAATTTTACGATAATAAATTTTTGTTTCAAGTTTTGTTTCAAGATATATATATTCGATGGATTCAGCGGGTGCAACGATTAATTTATTGATATTTTTTTAAATTATGAAAATGAAGCAATTCCTGCGTAATGTGTGGCGTCTGTAATTGTTACATCTGCTGAATTTGCATTTTTTATTCCCCACATCCTTTGTTTTCCTTGTTAAGACAGACTATATATATTGTTTTTAAGTTGAAGAAATTCTTAAATAAAATATACTAAAGCACATAGTAACTGCTGAAGTCAGTGCCAATGTGTTATCTCTTTGTCACAGTTTCTTCGAAGGTAGATGTGGGGGAGGAAGGATACTGGATTACTTAGTTTACATTACTCTACTGCCCTTGTAAACTGATACTTGGGAGATAGAAGTTGAGTTGGTCGAGTCCCAGCCATGGTTTCAATCACCAAGTTAAGTTAGTAATATTCATTATGCTTTACTGTACTAATTTCTGTTTCCCTCTTCTCTAATAAATATGTGTGATTGAAAATTTAAAGATATGCAATGCACATATGCATGTGTATATGAAATTTACATATATACATATACATTTAAAATGGTTGTACGTATATATTTAGATTTCGTTCATCTACAAGTAGCCATTTGGGATAAACTCTGGTATGATGGCCATAATTTTTTAAATAAAACTAGGATTAAAAAAACTTTTTATTATTTTTTAATTATGCTTGGTGTACTGCTTCATTGAAGCTTAAAGTACGTAATATTATCAAAACCAACGAAAAAACACTTAAATTTTATATTATCAAAATATTACAACGTATGCTTTGTCCATCTTACCTGACTTGTAGGGAAAAGATGGCCATAGTATTACAGGACAGTTGCTCATATATGTATATTAGAGCTGTTACTTTTGATAACTTAGAAGATTTGAAGCTTCGAATCTTTGAATCTTCGAAGTTTCGAGAAATTTATTCGTGCGAGTGGCGAATTTATTTAAAGAATTTATTTAAAAATTCTACAACTAAAAAAATTTATTTAAAGAACACTAAAAATATTGTAAATGAAAAGTACTTATTTATATATGTTGAAAAATAGGTAATTCTAAATTATAATTTTGAAGTACTATAACATGTATATTACATATTTATTTAAGATCGTGTAATTAAATCTTCAAAAATGGTCAAGTAAATCAATTAAAGTATTTAACTTTTTAAAGCGTTTGGTAGATTCTGTGATAAAATAATTTTGTTTTCTGCTTCAATCCAACTTAGAATGCATTCTATTAATTGAGCATTAGATATATTCAATTTCATTAGATATATTCAATTTCATTAAAACTCTAACATTCTTACATCTTCAATAGTATTGTGTGCTTTTTCACAATTAATTTCAAGATTTTTTGCTAACGTTTCTAATTTATTTTCACCTTTTCACTTCTTGCCAGACTTACATTTCTTTATTATAAGTAGTGTATCACAGAATCCTCGAATAATTTATTGAAAATGTTTTTTCATAAAAACTATCAATTGCATTCATTATTCTTGGATAATCAACAATATAGTTATGTGCTGTTAATATACACTTCTCTCAAAAGAACATAAAAATTCAAAAAATTCTAATACTGCTTCTGATAATGAAACCGTGACAACTGAGTTTTCGTGTAGTTGTAAAATTCCGTTTACAAATCGTAAGCCATGCACCGCATTCGCTTCTTCGGAAATTTTTTGCGTTGGCTTTATATACATCGAAAACTCATACTCATTGTACTTTGCAGCTGTCTGTAAAATATCAGCAGTCTTATGGAAACTCCCTGTTTCCAAATCATAAAGTACTATGATAGGTTCAAACTTTTCATTTATTGAAGGTATAGTAATTTGTGCGTCTAGAGTTCCAAGAAGTCCTATATCACTTTCATAGGTAGTTCCTTCAATTCCTTCAATTTTTTTCAATTAAGTCTTCTTCAAAAATTTATGATGCAATTTGAAATCAGGTAACAATGACTAATTAGCATATCTTTTATTGCTAAATGAATTAACTTATTTTATAATATTTTGAAGTATGTTTTCCAGGAGATAACGACAGTTTTTCAGCTACATTAAGAGCGTATACTTCCTCTTCATTTTTTACTAATAGCACAAGCTATTCTAGTATCACCAGATAACCGTGTTTTCGGTGCTTTGCTTACTATCATTGAATTTAGACTTTCATTAGAATTGCTTGAAGCTCCAGTAACAAATTGATTAGTTCCAGTAGCTAAAGTATTAAAAATACACTTTAAAGCTTCAAATAAATGTTTGTCCTTGAAACCATCTCCTATAATTGAATGTTTCTAGGTTTCAGGATTCTTATGATAATTACACCAACTTCCACAATTATCATGAATGTTAAAACAGTGATAAGGGATGTTTTCAATAGCTTTAGCCATAGCTACACTATCCTTCATTCTGAGAAACGCAATAATTAAAATGTTTTTTTAAATAACTAATTGCTATACCTGTGAGTACTTTATAATTTTTTTTATTTTATATAATTCATTTACTACTCCTTTGCTCGTGTGATTTTTATCCGCCTGCTTTACTATAATTCCTTGAAAAGGACCACACAACCCGTATGGTCGAAACGTCGGAGCCAAACAAATAAACCAACTGCCAGCCTAAAGTCGTGTAATAATTCTTTCCACCGTTAATCAACTACTGGCGATTCACATTCCTTTGTTGTTTCTAATACGACTTGATAAAAAAAACGGGACTCATCGCTGGTTCTGATCGTGCGCGAATGCAAGCTGTCGAACGAAAGACGCGGGAAACTCGTCGATGACTCCCGATTTCAAAGAGATTCACGCCCGCGCGGTAGGGAGAGAAGTGCATTCCTCGTTCTTTCTTTTTTCCTAATTGCCTTCTAGCGTTTTCGGGAAGCAGGCGCGTGATTGGCGGACGCGTCACGACGCTCGCACGACCCACTTTGGCGAGTGTCAGCGAATCGGCCGTTGCGTGGGAGCAAGCGAGCGAGCGAGCGAGCGAGCGAGCGCGCGCCATTCGCGCCAAGTGCACGAGAAAGAGAGAGGTATACGTGAGTGCGCGTCTCTCTCGCACTCTCGTGTTGCCGCGAACGGCGCGAACGTCGCCGAGTCGGTCGAGTTCAGTCGAGTTACGGCAGTCGTGTGTGGTACTGTGGTCAGTGGTGTGGCGTGTCTTCTCCGCGAACCATCGTGGGACTTGTTGGCTGCGAGAACAAGAGAAACGCGCGAGGGAGAGGAGGCGGTCGCTACCTGGTTCAGTTTCAGCTTCGTCCGCGTTCGCGCGAGCGCGGGCTCCTGAGGACGGCGACGGGGACGGCGGCGGCGACGGCGGGACGACCGAGGGCTCGTCGTCGTCCAGCACAGTGACAGCGACGAGAAAGAGAAGGTACGTTGGCGCACGTAACTCGTCCTCCCCTTTCTAAAAGCGCGCCAATGACCCCGTTCTAGTCGCCGCCTGTATCGCATCCGACTTGCCGCGGGCAGTGCCGTTTCGCTCGATTGTTTCCGATCCTGAACCCGCCACCCGGACCGCGGCATATGCTAGTACGGCAGACGGAGACCGTTTCTTGCCGCTCGCGAGGTCGTGTTTGTTTATCTCGTCGCCGACTCGGCGGAATGCCGTCTCGTTAGGAAGCTCTGGCGGTTGCACGGTGTGTTTCCTAGTATATCGCTGGCAATGAGTGTAAGATATCACTGTGTGTTAAGGTGTCTGCAGTGTCAAGTTCGTAGGGACTACAGCTTGCTTAAGGTTTGCCTTCCACGGTGTTTGCGTCCCGGCGTATCGCCGGCTCTCTTGTTGTACCCCCACCCCGTCATTTCTTAGGTGATAGAAAGGACAACAAGGTTCACGAGTGAGAAGTAATCGAAGAAGGGCAGGTGAATAAAGCGCCCAAGACTTTGATTTAATTTCACGGAGTGTGCCGATCGTCGCTGCAGAAATATCTCTCGCAGCTTTTCTTCCTCCTTTCTCTCATCTAAGAAGGAACAAATGGCAGCGTGAATGACGTGTGTAGGACAAGTTTTGATCATTGCTGATTATTAGTTCTATTCCTAGGGAGCGCCTTTTCATGTATCGTCATGTTGTCTGGTTATTGTACAACTACGTCAAATATAAATGTAATAAACATACTAAAGTCCCGTCTGGGCCGTTGAGCGGTTCACACGTCTTCCGACGGAAGATAAAATTTTTGATCCTGCGGGATTGCATCATCCAATAGGGATTGCATCATCCCGCGCGAGGCTCAGTAGTTGGGCCTCTGCATTGTGTGACATTAAAAACGCGATTACACGTTAGGAGATTTATATCGTCAAGTCAAGACTATTGGTTCGTCGTGGTCGTGTCGGCTCGATACAGGAGCCGGGTGCCATAACAAGATAAAGAAGAAGAATAAACATACTCTAGCAACAGCTAATTTCGCACGCAAACGTCGGTTAACTGCTAACCGAAGGTTAATTGATTCTTTGCCTCTTCTTAGATAATAAGATAGAAAAAGGTAGGGAGTTGACACTTGAACTCTGGTTAACAGTTAACTGATGTCTGTGAAACTAGTCCTAGGAATGTGTGTGGTGCACTCTTCATATCTTGTCGATTTCTTCTCGTCAACCAGATATTTCTTTCCACATGAGTGGCTCTTCCAGGTTTGTTTTTACATTTTTCCTTACAGGTTTTATGTTATTTTGCCTTGCGTTGAATCTATTTCGAGTATTCGTTACCGTGATCAAGATTTAACGAGATGTAATTTAAAAGATCAGTTGCCGCGAACATGTGTCCCCCCCTCCCCGCCTTTGTTTATACCGCATTATCTCTTTGTTGCTTTCGTATTCGGAAATCCTGTGACTGCGTTTGCAATCTTTTTTTCGTGAATCTTATTAATATAGAGCCTCGTGTTTTACCATATAATTTAATTGTATACATTGATTAAAATCTGTTGCAGGTGGTCAGCACGACTGAGATTTAAATATCCGTATTCTACCTATGTTCTCTCTTTCATAAGAGAGATTCATCATGGATAATAAAAAGGACGAAGTTATAAAGAATTTACGGTCGTGCTTGATATCCTGCAAAGGCGGTATCAAGTTGGAGGCCTTGAGAAGTAAATATTGTCAATTCTGTTATTACGAAGCAATTTTAAATACAACTATTTATGCTTTAACGCACTCTACTATCTTCACATACTTTCCATTTGAATGTCTTTTACTCCAATCAATCATTCTTAAAGACTGATATAATTAATGATTTTTACTTTTTAGGGGACTATCAAGTAATAACAGGGGAGCTATTACCCTTTAAACAATTTGGATATTCTTCTGTGGAAGCTTTCGTACGTAGCATACCGGATGTTGCGGTGATAAAAAAAAATGGAGAATTGTTTGTGGAAGCCGTGCCTTCCAAGACGACGGCGCATCTCACGAAACTGGTTTCGCGACAAAAGATACGACGAAAAATACGACCACAGCCAAAAAAAGTAATCACTTTACTGGTACTTTATATTTCATAGAAAGAAATTGTTGCCACGCGTATATTGATAAACGTATATTGACTGTTTCATTAAATGTCTGTTAAAAACGGCCATTACCTGAACCAGATGTGGATTTTATAGTATGCATTGTATGGAATTATTGGAAACTATTATTTTGCTTGCTCCAATGTTAAGACTTAGTTCGGTATTTATAGTCAAATCTTATATTCAAAACCTTAAGATTATCTTTAGATACTCCATAGCCAATGAAATGTTTTATACAGCATCTTTAGATAAATTCAAGATGGTCTTGAATAATAACATCTGACTATGAATACCGAATTTAAATAGTTCAGCTATATCTATATATATATACAGAATAAAAGAATATTCTTCTTTTGAAAATATATTTAGTTTTAACGTGAAAATCTTGAAATGAGATTATATCGCGTTAAAGGGAGAAAAACTTACTTTAATGAAGCAATTTTATATAATTCAATCAAGAAAAATATATGCTTATTATTTAAAATTTGAGACGGAAAACTTATAGTCAACCCAACTGGCTAGTTATTTAATCAGTTTATTACACAACATTTCGACCCTAATCTTTTGGGTTCTTTTCGAGTGATACTAAGTCATCGTCGTCAAATAAGACAGTTCAAGCCCAGCTACCACAGTGCTCACACATATACATCGACGATGACTAACTTATGCCCGATTTCTTCACATCCAGTTATGTTACGGTTAAAGTTAAACGGGAGATAACTACCAGATCCATGCACGTGATTGGCCAAAACTTGAGATTAACCACCGGATAATTTTATCGGGAAGTGAAAAAGTCGGCCATTAGTATCACTCGAAAAGGACCCAAAAGAATAGGGTCGAAACGTTGTGTAATAAACTGAATAATAACTAGCCAGTTGGGTTGACTATAAGTTTCCCGTCTCAATTTTTAATCATTACTGGTGACAATAAGCAAACTCTCCTTTCGCTTATTATTTAAGAATAATTTCCTTGAATGTGTGGAAAGGAAACAATATTGGATAGAAAATAACGTATATTTTCAAATCGAAGATTATAATGATTGAAATAATTTTAAATAATCCAGGTTCAAATACTGGCTGAGGTAAATTTTTCGCAATAAATTAAAAAAAATCATTTAGACACTAACATCCTGTCTTGGCTCTTATATCCTATATTCCTTCGAATTGTGATTACACGTCAAAGCCTTCTAAGTTTTATTGTTTAAAATAATTTTTTGTCGAAATAATTATATTCTTGAAGCGACAGTTATAGTACTTAAATAAGATTGTAATATTGTTGGAATGTAAGATTAAATGCTTCTAAGAAGATTACTATAGATTGTTGCGTATATACAAAATGAACGCATTAATTTGAAAATATAAGAGTTGATCTGACACCTTTTTTACTGTGTAATTGCTATAATTAATTATAGAATTCTTTTTCAGTGGACCCCGCCTCGATACACGAGAACTTTTCCGTCTGGCGTTAGAAGTAATAATAACGTCAGCAGTGGTAGCCAGCCTACCAGGAGTAATTACGTTAGTCCTCCAAATGCTTTTACTAGATCAACACCCGGCAAGAGTAACTTGTATACAGAATTTTGCAGGTACCTATAGTATCCAAACTGTATTCTCTCTCT